AGGGCCTTCGCCAGGGAGCGCCTGCTGTCCGAGTGGCCGCGCTCCCGGGGCAAGGTCAAAGCAAGGTCAAGAGGGGACCCTTCACAGGCCTCGGCCCGCCCTCCCCGCCCCGGACTCCGTGTCCTCGCCACACAATGATCAGCGGTGACAACCTGGTCCCCGCTCTGGGGGCTGCGGACCCAGCGGACCCAGCAGATTACGGCGTGCAACGGTCGTCACCAGGGGGCGCAGAAGATCCTGCCCCTCTCCGTCCCAGCTCCTAGATCCAGCGCCACGTCCCTAGGATGCGGCCTTCTCCCCTTCTCCCCCTTCTCTCCCCTCTCCTCCCCTGGCCCCGCTCCCTGCTCCCGAGTACAGGACTGAGGATCAACCAGGGCCTCCACATTCAGCACCAACGTGATCAAAGATACAGTGAGGTTTAAATTTCCTTGTGACTCCAAGAGAGCCCAAGTCGGTGCCAAGTCCAATGAATGAGGTGGATGAGGACTCCTTCAGGTTTTTATCGGACAGAAACTGCATTTGAAATCAATTCAGGACATCAGGCAGCCACAAAATGACACTCACAAAAGAGGACTTCCAGGACTTCTGGGACTTCAGAGTGGCAGGAACGAGAGGATCAGTGTGCTTTAACCAAGGGGATATATTTTTTTCAGCTTTAACTGAGTTTATTGGTACATTTTTGGGATACAGTACAGTTACATTCATTGTTGGGATCTTGTACCTCTACATGACAGGTCTTGGTTCTCATTTCTTCCCCTTACCTCTGACCTCCCTTCACCCCCTCCTCCCCTCCCCATCTACAAACACTTTATTTCCATCTTTTCATTATCTCACATTTTTTTCTTTCCCCTTATTACCCTTCCCCTACCCGTCCCACCTTCCCTATACCTTTAGCTCCTTTCTTCCCATTTCTAAATGTCAGTAATCTTATTAGGATCTTCTGTATTATTGCAGATTATTCACACCAGAGAAACTATTTGATATTTATACATGTGTGACTTATTTATTTCACTTAGGAGTATATCTTCAATATGTATCCATTTTCCTATGAATGAATCTATTTTCTTGTTCTTTATGGCTGAGTAATATTCCATTTTATAGAAAAACCACATCTTCTTTATCCAGTTTCCAATGGCTGGGCAAATAGGCTGTTTCCAAGTTTTAGCTATTACAAACTGTGCCGCTATAAACATGGGTGCGCATACTTCTCTGTGATATGATTCTTTTAGTTCTTTTGGAAAGATACCCAGCAGAGGGATGGCTGGGTCAAATGGAATCTCCAATCCAAGCTCTTTGAGGTATCTCCATATTGATTTCCATAGTGGTTGCACCAGTCTGCACTCCCACCAACAATGGAGGAGGGTTCCTTTCTCCCCACAGCCCCGCCAACATTTGTTATTGTGTGATTTCTTGATAGCAGCCATTCTTTGTGGGGTGAGGTGGAATCTCAGTGTTGTTTTCATCTGCATCTCTCGAATGATCAGTGATGTGGAACATTTTTTCATATATTTACTTGCTGCTTTTATTTCTTTGTCTGAGAAATGTCTGTTCATTTTGGATGCCCATTTTTGAATTGTGTCTTTATATTTGAGGGGGCTGATTGTTTTGAATTTTTTATATATTCTTGATAATAGTCCTTTGAGGAACAGCTGGTAAAAATTTTTTCCCACATTGTAGATTGTCTCTTAGTTCTGCTGATGGTTTCTTTTGAAGTACAGAAGCTTTTTAATAAGATGAGATCCCAGTTGTTGATTCTATCTGCTAGTTCCCGTGCTGCTGAGGCTTTGTTCATTAAGTCTTTTCCTATGCCAATGTCTTCCAGAGTTCTGCCTAACTTACCTTCCAACAAGTCTAATGTTTCTGTTTTAATATTTAGATCTTTAATCCATTTGGATTTTAATTTAGTGCATAGTGAAAGATAAGGGTCTAGTTTTAATCTGTGGCAGGTTGACATCCAGTTTTTCCAACACCATTTATTAAAGAGGCTATCTTTCCTCCACTGAGGATGGTCAGCTCCTTTGTCAAAGATGAGGTAGCTGAGTACATCTGGGTTTGTTTTTGTGTCTTCCAGTCTGTTCCACTGATCCTCAGGCCTGTTTCTTTGCCAGTACCATGCTGTTTTTATCACAGTGGCTTTGTAGTATAGTTTCAAGATGGGAATTGTTATACCCGGTGCCATGTGTCTGTTGCCTAAAATGGCTTTTGCTATTCTAGGTCTCTTATGGTTCCAAATAAATTTTTGGATTCTTTTTTCTAGTTCTGTGAAATATAGTGTTGGAATTTCTATTGGCATTGCATTGAATGTATATAGCAGTTTTGGTAGTATGGCCATTTTCACTATGTTGATTCTTCCTACCCAGGAGCAGGGGATATCTTTCCATTTTTTTATATTCAAGGGGATATATTTTGAGAGGGATTAATGACAACGTGTCATTTACTGCAATAATTTTTTTCAAAGAACAGTGGCAAAGTTCATTCAAGAAGTAAAAGTGAAGAGTGGGAGAGAAAATGGCTTTGCAGAGTGAGCTTGGGCCTAGTAAATAGAAAAAGAGGGTAAGAGCAAAGATAAAAGTACAAGCTATGTCTGGGAAACAGCGTAGGCTGTCTTGGAAAGCTACAATAGTTTGCAATAAATAATTTAAAGAATTAAACCCTCACTATATATTTTTTGACATATCACATGCATCCCTGGCTCTTTTTAAAACTGAGACAAGATTCCCCTATTGAGTCGTCCAGGCTGGCTTTGAACTTGTGACCCTCCTGCTCAGCCTGCAGAGTGCTGGGACCTTAGGTGTGCACCACTGTGCCCGGCATCCCAGGGAGCTTGGACCTGCTCTTCCTGTCTCTGAGCCTCTTCTGGGGATGGTGATCCTGTCTCCCTGGAAGGTCTTGCGCTGTGGAGAATCAGTGCTTTCCCTCCATCTGTCCGCCTCCCTCTCTCAGACCTGAGAGGGGCCCGTGGTGACATAGTTGTAGCCCAGCTGCCCGGGGTCACCCTAGGAATCAGACCTGCAGGCGACCCTGAGCTCTGCCCCTCTACAGACTGCACCACAAACCCTGCCCGCTGTGGGGGGAGATGGGGTGGGGTGTGAAGGGGGCCGCACGTGAGGGCACAGAGGGGTGAAGGCGCCCGCAGGAATCCCACAGGACCAAGGCTCTTCTCAGGCCGGTCTTTCACACCTGTGCCTTAGTTCACCCTGGCTGCTGGGGGAGGGGGGCTCCTCATCACACTACAGGTCTGCAGGGGCAGAGGACAGGAAGGGGACAGAGGAGCCCAGCTTGGAGGCTGCTGCTGTTCCGGGCGAAGAAAGGCGGCTATCGGGGCCGAGACCCACTGCCCACAGCAGAACCTGCAGTTTGCAGCAGGGTCACACAGTAACTGGATGAACGGCCTGGGCTCTGCCATTTCCAGCCTGTGACCTTGGGCAAGTCCCTGGCCTGGGCCTCAGGGACCTCATCTGTAGAGTGGGGCTTGTGGCACCTGCTTTGCAGGCTTCCCTTAACTGAGCTGGCAGCCCTAACGTGTCTACGGCAGTCGCCATTCCTGACTCCTGATGGGCTCATAACCTTGAAGAGTCTGAAATTCCTGGGGATTTTAAATGCAGCTGGGGCCTGGGGTCTGGGGCTCCCCCGGTGGCCTTGGAGCCCTGCTTCCTGTGGCTGGCAGGTGTGGCACCTGCCGTCCACCACTCAGCCTGCGCTAGGCAAATGAGGTGATGTCAAAGCCTTGGCCAGAGCCCAGCCCCTGACCCGCCCCTCTCCCTCCCGGCCTCTGCTCTCCCATTCACTCTCACGCTCCGGCCGGCTGTGCCCAGAGGGAAGGTGAGAGGCACAGAGTGGCTGGGTGCTGGGTGAGCCGGCTCCAAAGCCGGCCCCATCGGGCCTTCAGAGCTGCTGACCCCAGGCACAGGGCCCTGCGCCATCCTGCCCTGCCTTTAGAAGCCCCGATTTGCAGTGGCCTGGGGCCCATCCTCGCTGGCTCACACGGGGTCGCTGGCAACCCCTCTGCTGGGTGCAGGGGCCGGGCCAGCCTGGCGGCCATGGCAGACGAGAAGACCTTCCGCATCGGCTTCATCGTGCTGGGGCTCTTCCTGCTGTCCCTCGGCACCTTCCTCATGAGCCACGATCGGCCCCAGGTCTACGCCACCTTCTACGCCATGGGCAGTGTCATGGTGGTCGGGGGTGTCATCTGGAGCATGTGCCAGTGCTACCCCAAGGTAGGCAGCGATGGGCGGGGTGGGGCGGGGCCGGGAGGGTCAGCGTCTGTGCCCCTGCTCGGTGCCCCATGCCCCATCCTTCCACCATCTCATTCTTCGTCTCCTGACTCCCAGGTTTCTTCTCTGCTCTCCACGGCCCCGGTTCACCCGTCCGTCCATCTCTCACCACAAGGCTCGATTAGAAGCCCTTGGGTCCCGGGCCCTGAGCCAGACATCTTGGGGAGACAGTGACACCCAATGCCCATGCTCCTCCAAGTGACCGGGCACTGCCAAGTGCTCCTGCATACACCATACAGTGCTGCCCTTGGCTGGACTTTTAATGCTTTTTAAATTCTGGTGTTGGGGATTGAACCCAAGGCTTTGCTCGTGTTAGGCAAGCGCTCTACTACTGAGCTACACCCCTGACCCTGACAGGGTCTTATTAAGTTGTCCAGGCTGGCCTTGAACTTTTGATCCTCCTGCCTCAGCCTCCTGAGTAGCTTGGATTACAGGTGTGCACCACCAAGCCCCAGCCTTTCTGCTGCTGTCTACAGTTCCATTTCATAGTAGAAAACCCGAGGCTCTGAAAGGTGAGGCTCCCCGCCAAGCAGCAGTTTGGGCTGGAGCTCAGCTGTGTGTGACATTCGGCCACCCTCCACCACGTGTCCTCTGGCTGCGTCCCAGAGTGCCGGGAGGTCCAGGGAAGGTCAGGTCTCACCCCGACGGCATATGAGCGCTCTTAGTCCTGTATGTTCCCAGCCTTGAGAGGGATTCATGCTGGGAAGCGCTGGTTTAGAAATCCTACATTCTTGCCGGGTGTGGTGGCGCACACCTGTAATCCCAGCTCCTGGGAGGCTGAGGCAGAAGGATCGCTGTGAGTTCGAGACCAGCCTGGGCTACATAGTGAGTTCCAGGTCAGTCTCAACTGCATAGTGAGACCCTGTCTCAAATAACCAAAAAAAAAAAAAGAAAGAAAAAGAAAGAGTAGCAGCTTATTAACACAGGCAGTGTGCATACACAGAGGAAAAACATAACCAAAAAAAAAACCCAAAACAAAACAAAACAAAAAAAAAACACAAAACAAGCAAACAAAAGAAGTCCTTTGTTCTGGTTCCAGCTCCGTCCCAAACTCCGGTGACCTCTGTCTTTCTGAGCCTCAGTGTTTCATCGGGAAAACGGGGCCCCAGGTCTTTAGCTGCATAAGCAGGAGGATTGTGACGTTAGGGAGGGGACGGTCTATGGGGATGTGCGCAGACTGCAGTGCTGTGTTTAGGGAAAGAGCTGCTGCTGTTTCTGCTCTGATCCTGCCAACAACGACGGGTCGTGGGTTGTAAACTCCAGCACCCAGAGAGGTTGGGTGACTCCTCCAAGGTCACACAGCTGGTCAAAGACAGACTGTGAGATAAGGAGAGAAATGTGGTCGAACTTGGCTTTTGTCTAACTGCCTGGGAGACTTTTTGCTCGGGCCCTTTCCCTCTCTGAGCCTCAGCCCTGCAACGTGTGAGTGAAGGGGCAGGGTGGACCCCTGGCAGGGTGGACAGGGGGTCCACCGAGGTTGACATCCGGGGCTCCAGGCCCTCCTCTGCTCAGGCCTAGGAGGAGACAGAGAGGGGAGAGGCCCTGCCCGCTCCGCGGCGGCTGCAGCTGTGCTTGCGCTGGGCAGTCTGCGCTGGTTTGCATCCATTCCCCAGCAGTTTACAGTCAACTGGCCTCCGGGAAGAGGGCTGGGGAAGCCACCGCGTCAGCGCCACCATCGGGAGGCCGGCGGGGCAGGGGACCTCAGAGGTGTGGGAGGCGGTGTGGGATGCGTCCCTCCCGCTGCTCCCTTCCCACGGGCGCTGGCCGCAGTGGGCAGAGCCTGGGCCGCGGTGCCGCGGGAAACCGCTGGGCATTAATGAGCAACTGTTGACGGAGTCTCGCGGTCACGAGCTCCTGCCGGGCCAGCTTGGAAGGGAACTTTTTCCTTCCCTCTCAGCCACTTCTGTGACCTTGGTAGGGGGACCCCGTGGGGGTTCTGTGGAGGTGGGGGTGACCTGGCCTCATGCCTGGTGCGGAGCAGAGGGGAAGGCACCACTGGGATTCGGCACGGTGGAGTGTGCGCGTGCGTGCGTGCGTGCAAGTCCCAGGCCCAGAGAAGTTGCCTCTGATAAGGGCAGGAGCACAGAGTGCTGCCACTGCTGTCTCTGCCCTCCTCAGTGGGGCCAACAGCCCCACCTACTGAATCTGCCCAGATTCAGTCCCCGGGCTCAGGCCCAGCCCACTGAGAGCCTTAGTGAATGGGAGCTGCCGGGGTGGGTTGAGGGCTAAGTGCACCCAAGGGACTTGACTTAGCTAATTGGATAGAAAGATGAGGGTAAGCCGATAGAGCGCGGGAATTACGTGTCCCAGTTGTGAGCGTGTCCCAGGGCCAGCAAGTTTCCACCCTGTGTAAGCTGCCCTTTGTAGGAGCCCGATAGGGAAGAAGCTTCAAAGAGGAGGTGAATGGGGCTTTGTAGGTTAGATAGAAGTTCATCCATTGTTTAGGTAGCTGCTGGAGGCTGGAGGAGAAAAGTAAAGGTAAAAGTGGAGGGGAGCAGGGTGGGAGGCCGGGGATGCTAAGGAATTTGGACCTTTCCCTTGTTTGCCTTCTGCTGATGGGACAAGGAGAGAACCCAGGCAGCTGGGATGGTGGGGCAGCCGTACCTGTGACAGCCTCTCCTCTGGCCCAGGTGAGAGACGACGGTCACCTGGGTGGCTGCCTTGAGCCCCGAGATTTAGGAATCGAGCAGAATTTGCAGCCCATCACAGCTGGCACACTGGGTATGCTGGGCCCCAGGCATGGGTGAGAAGGGTAGCTCTAGTGAGTGGTACCATTCGGGAGGCTGAGACAGGCAGAAGAGGGAGCCTGGGGCTGGGAGCAGAGCTGTCCCTGGGCCCCACTCCCACAGGACCAGGACCCGTGTTCTCTGTGGGCTCCTCTCTGCCTGCGCCCCTTGGGAACTGCTCAGATTTCTAGACACACACCTGACTGGTGTCTCTGGCTGGGGGGTGGGGGTGGGGGTCCCAGAGGTCCCAGCACTTCTGGAAAAGGCTGAGCTGTAGTCTGAGGCTCTGGGGTCTCTGTGGTCTGACCTCCCTCCCCAGCGTCAGCCCTGCCTGCCCTCCTACAGCACCGACTTGTGCTCTGTGGTGTTCCTCCCCGCCGTGCCTCTCAGGCCTTTCATAATGTTGGTGATGGTGATGTGGGGACGGGGACGGTGGCGATGGAGGTGCTGCTGGTGATGGGGAGGTTGTCTTGCAGATGGGCCATGGGCAGTGACTCATGGCCAGTGAGTGGGCCACGAGGTAATAAGGAAGAAGAATCAGCTCCGAAGAAGTACAGAAGCAGCTGGCTACAGAGCATCCTTCCTAGGCTCCCTGGGGGAAGATGCCCAGACCCCGCCTTGCTTCCAGGTCTGGGGGAAGAAAGCTCACCTCCCCAGGGGCTCTGAGAACCTCCCACCCACCATCCCTCTCTTCCTCTCACGACAGAACTTTTCAGGCGCAGACAAGTGTGTTCTACTCGGGGTACTCTGGGGAGGGAAAGGGGGTGCTGTTGGCTCGCCAGCGTGATTGCAGTGAGGTCTCATCAGATACTCTGAAAGCATTCTCACCGAGGAGAGAGAGACTCGAGGAAGTCAGGTGGGCCAGCGTCCCGCAGCTCCCATGCCAAGACTGATGGGCACTGCCCTGGCACAGCCTCCTTCATCATCTCCAGCCCCGGAGATGGGTGTCACCAGCCCGCTCCTTAAAAGTCGCGGTAAAACACGCAAACACGGATGCTTCACTTTTTGTTGGTTACGCAGATGAGTGGGTTTCAATTTCGGCGGGACAAATATCAGTTTTCTGTCTTCCTGGTGGTGCGGTGTGAGCACATTCACGTACCTACCTCCGGATGCTTTTCATCTCTGGAGACTGAAACCCTGGACCAGTGATGGCGCTCCACAGCGGGCACCTAGGCACACACAGCCCTCTCTGCAATGACTTCACAGGTTATAGGAGTTGTTTTTTCTAAGCGAAAACCCCAGGACTCAGGTTTAATTGCAGTGTTGGGCCTTGGCAATAAATACGTGGGTTTTGGGTTGCATTTTGGGTGCTTGTCTCTGAAAGCTTCGCCATCACTGCCATAGACCATTAAACAATCTCCCCCTTAGCCCTATCCTCAGCCATTCTGCCTCCCCTGCATGATTCTGGCCACTCTGGGCACCCCAGAGATGTGGAATCTTACAGCATCCGTCCTGTTGTGGCTCCTTTCCGGCGTGGTGTCATCCAAGTCGTAGCCTGTGTGCAAATCCCCCCACTTTCCAAGGTCGGGCTGGATTTCCCGGTGTGTGTGCCATGTTGGTTTAACCACCCTTGTCAGTGGGCACCTGGGCTCCTCGCCATGGGGGTGCTGCGTGCAATGCTACTCTGAGCATGGTTGGCCAGGGCACCCCATTATCCAGACCAGCTTGGGGAGGGGTGGCCTGCCAGAGGCCCTCAGTGAGGACGCTCAGAGGAGACAGCCTCACCCTAACTCCCCAATCCCAAAGGCAGAGCTCCTCAGACCCCATCCCACGGCTGCCCTCAAGCCCTGCCTCCTGCCCCCACCCCAGGAGCAGCAGACGAATGGATCCTGGAAGCTATAGGCACAGGCACAGGTGGGGGCACCCACAGCCCTCCGTTGCTCTGTCCCCCACCCAGCCTCAGTGGCAAGAAGCACTGGGCAGCGGTCTGCTTTCCGGTCACTCCCCAGGTGTGGGTGCAGCGCTGTGCCACTGGGCTGGGGGCTGGGCACTGACAGAGTGCTGAGATCTGCTAAGCTGTGCTCTCGGGCAGGGAGGTGGCTGCTGTCCTCAGTGCCCAGAAGGGAGCCAGGTGCTCCACACACCTGCTGGGGCGAATGGCAAAGAGCCAGGAGGGAGTAGCAGCCTGGTGACCACAGGGTCCCGGGACTGTCTGTGCAGTCCCTCCCTGCCTGCCCTGCCCGCTGCCCCACGGGGACAAGCAGAGCTGTGTGCTGAGGGCAGGGGAGGCAGTGCCCAGCAGCTGCAGACAGGCCATCTCCCTGTGGCCCGCAGGTAGCCTTTGTGCCCGCTGACTCTGACTTCCAAGGCATCCTGTCCCCAAAGGCCCTCCTGGAGAATGGACTCGCCTCAGAGATGAAGAGGTAGGTGCAGGCGGTGGCAGGCCAGCACCTCGGAGGAAACTCCCACCCAGCAGGGAGAGGGGGAAGGCCGAACGCCCACTGCATACATGGCAGCTCCAGGCCTGCCTTCCTCCCTCCTGCAGATGCAATATTAGCACAGGTTGTTCTGAACTCTGTCTTGTGAGTGAAGCCTTCTTCACCCCGTTTTATAGATGTGGAAACTGAGGCTCAGAGGAACGCAGTCCCAAGCGCCAAACCTCATGGGGAGTAGGGCAGAGGCGGGGCCTGAGCTCCAGCCTCACCAGCTCAGCTGAGCTCCGCGTAGCTCTCAGAGCACCTGGGCCTACAGGCTCTCTGCTCCGTCTGGGAAAGGTGGCAGTGGTGGCATTCTCTGCTACCGGCACACTGGTTTAACAGTGTCCTCGTGGGGACAAACTAGCTGGTTCCTGGGAGAGCGAGGGGGCCGTTTCCAGCCGGTGGGCTGCTGTGACGGAGGCAGGGTCAGGTCACTTGGGTCCCAGGACCTTTCTGGTTACCACCCAGGCGTGTGGCCTTGGGCAGGGGACCCAGTGTCTGAGCACAGTGACAGAGAACAGGATGCCTGGGGCCAGCACCTGCACCTCACGCCCATGTCGGTGTTAGGCCCTGGGCCTCAGTTTCCTCACAGCATACTGGGGTGACGGAGGATTAGAGGAGCCGGCAGGTGAGGAGCCCCGAAGCTGGGGACCCTGCCTGCTGATGCATCCCTAGCTTCAGGTGCTGTGGCTGTCAAGGCCCAGTACCTGCCTGGAGTTCACTGCTTCTCATTTTGCCATCACAGGAAGGGAGCACGGGGCTGAGGTCAGGCTGGGGTTGGCCTGAGCTCTGCCACTTGGTTTCTCTTCCCACTGGGCCCTGGCCTCCTCATGAAATGGGTAAAGCAGCATCCCCGGAAGGCTCTCGTGAGACTGGGGGAGACCACAGCCTGGCTGGCTGCGTGACTGTGGCCCATTCTCTCTCCCACCCTGTCTGTGGGGCCCCAGCCCCCAGCCCCCCTATGCCAGGCTGTGGGAGGAGGCCGCCTATGACCAGAGCCTGCCTGACTTCAGCCACATCCGGATGGAGGCCTTGGACTACAGGAGGGGCTCCCGCCCGCTGCTGGCCCCCGAGCAGGAGCCAAGGTCCAGGGATGGTAGAGAAGGCGGCCCTTGCGATGCTCAGGCCTGGGTGGAGGCGGCTGTGGTCGTCCACAGGTGCTTGGACCAGAGCGAGGGAGAAAGGACCCGGACTCAGAGCAGCCCCAGGTGAGTGCAGAGCCGGGGGTCCATGCTGCCTGGACCCGGCGCACAGGAGGGGGGCCCGGAGGACCCTGGGGAGTGGGTGGATGGGCAGCGGAGGGGTATCAGGTGAGTGAGCATGGGCCGAGGGGTTGAGCAGCCCTTCGGCCGTGTGCACTTGGCAAGTTCCTTATTCCCCTAGGCCTTGGTTTCCCCATTGGGAACAGTCATTCATTCCTACACAGGGTTGCTGTCAGGACTGGGACAGGCACTGAAGTGCCTGGAGCACGTGGGCTCCTCCTTGTCATGACAGGGACATGGCAGGGAGCCAGCAGCCGCAGGACTGAGCCGCCAACCTGCTCTGTGACCGTGGGTGGGTCGGGCCCCACGCATCTTGTCCCTGTTGGCTTATGAGCTGAGCTCCTGATTCATCCATTTCCTTATTCAGTCCATCATCGTGCCTGGGTGCCAACTCTCTGCCAGCCCTTGACCGGCTTCTGAACTTCAGGAGCTCCTGGGTCCTTGTGGGGAGGCCGCCAGGGAACAGAGGGGACCCCAGTATGACAGGGGAGAACCCCAAATGCCTGGACAAGTAGAGGAGTGGCCTAGTTTAGACAGTAACAGAATAACCATGTTTCCCAAGCACCTGCTGTGTGGTAGCGCTGTGCCAAGTGCTTTGCCCACAGTACCTGCTATAAATCTCAGAATAACCTGCTGGAGTGAATGCTGCTATTTACCCCACGCTGCAGGGGAGGAAACTGAGGCCCAGACAGGTGAACTTGCCTCTCCCAGGCCTTGCAGCTAGTGGCTGGGACCTGGACCCCATGGTCTGACCAGAGCTACCATTAACTTTGCAATCTTTTTATTTTATTTTATTTTTGTGGAACGGGGGATCAAACTCAGGATCTTGTGCTTGCCAGGCGGGCGCAGCACCACTGAGCTAAATCTCCGGCTCTTGACCTTGTGGTCTTTGTCCCTGCAGCCTGCCGGGCCATCCCCAGGGCCCTGCACCCTTGGCCTCCTTCCAAGATGACCTGGATATGAGCTCAAGTGAAGGCACAAGCCCCACCCCATCTCCGCCTGGCAGAGAGGCACCCCGGCCCCCACAGCAGGAACCCAGGGACAGCAGCAGCCCACTGGATGTCTTCGATGACTTTGCCCTGATCGATGATGCCCCCACACTGGAGGATGCACCCCAAGAGGGGCAGAGGCAGAAGGCAGTCCTGCTCAGCAGCTGGCAGCAGTACCCAAGGAGGAGGAAGGAGAAGGAGAAGGAGGACAAGGCCTCGGACACAGGTGCAGAGGAGCCGGAGGAGAAAGAAGAGGATTTGTACTATGGGCTTCCGGACAGCCCTGGGGACCCCCTTCCAGACAAGGAACTAGGCTTTGAGCCTGATGCCCAGGGCTGAGCTGGAACAGCTCCCTAGTTCCAGCTGCGACCACTGCTAACCCCCTTTGAACTCACTGGGCCTCCGTTTCTGCACAAGGGGACTACATGGAGACAAGGTGGGGGGCCCGAGGAGGGCATCTCGGACCTACAAAGGGATCTCAGGGAGGGGTTGCTGTCTGAACCATTGCTCCAATGGCTCCTTTTCTCTGACAAACCTTCGAAGGCAAAACTCGATGTGCTGAATATTTACAGCAGCCAGGTGGTCCTCAAAAACCTTTTCTGTCCCCCAAAGCTGGCCTCTGACAGGGCCCTCCTGGTGCTCTCGGTGGCCTAGATCCTCTGTGCCGACCTCTGGTGCCTGCTGGAGGGAGTGGCCCATCTCCCCAGGGATGCCCAGCTTTTCCCCAGCCCAGGACCTGCTGTGGCTCCCGCAGTTCCTACTCCGGGATCCATGGCCTCATGGGGCTGGCCCCACTGAACTCAGACCTCAGCCCTGGAAGCCCCCTTCAACCTCCGGTCCCCATTCTGCAGCCCAGGCCCTTGCCTGAGCTCTTCTGCTCCAGGACACCCTTGGCTCCCCAGCAGAGGGGACCCTCCCTCCCCTGCATGCTTCTGATGTTGCAACTCTTGAAGTGAGGTGGTGCTTGCTCTACTCAATGCCTTTGGGCTGGATGCTCCCGCTGTGGCACCCTGCCTGCCTCCTGCTCCAGGGGACAGCATGGCTTTACCCACCTCAGCACCTCTGGTGGCCCCAGAGCCACGGCCACTGAGGGGATGTGGAAGGCAAAGTCCCAAGAACCTTCTGCCAAGCACGGGAGCCACCTCCTACTTCACCACCCTTACACTCCCAGCTCCTTAATGACTAGCACTCAGACTCTACATGGCTCTCATACAGCCTCGGGGTCAGGCAACAAGCCCCAGACAATGCTCAGCACACCTGCTAACTTCCCTGGCTCTGGCTTGGGCAAGTGACCTCATGCTGCTGGCTTTGTTTCATCTGCATCAGGTCGGCACAGCACGTCCGCTGTGCGCTGGATGCTCAGCTGGGACCTTTGGGGGAGTTCCTGAGATGGCTCTTGGCACGCTCACACTCCAGCCAGCTGCTTCCTTGTGCATTAGAGACAGAGCGCAGTGCAGAGATGCAAGAAACTGATGCTCAGGGGCCAGGGGCAGCAGTGGCAGAACCTCAGCACCCTGCGGGAGCACTGTCCCCTGCTGATCTCTGCAGAGCCCTCGGCCCACCCAGAGACAGGAGTGGGTGTGGAGGAGAGGGCAGGGTGCTACCTCAGATCAGTCCACACACTCAGAGCTTCGCCCTGGGAGTGGGGGGCCGATTCCTGGGCAGAGCCCCTGGTGCAGGTTGGGGTCCTGGCTCAGGGAAGAAGATGGCCGAGCTGGGGCAGAAGGCCACTCTCCCAGGGTACGCTCTTCTCTCTGGGCCTTCCTACCTCTGCTGGAAAGGGGGTGTCCCCACTCACACCCGGAACATGGACAAGGTGAGATGCAGCACACTCCTTGCTCTGTGGGTCAGGGCAGGGACACCTGTGACTCACATCAGTGGGGGCACCAACACCCATGACTAAAATAACATTCTTAACACCAAAAGGGGTCACCTTGATTCACTAACAAATTCTTCTTTCAAAATCCACCATTGCCCCCCGGCCTGGGACAAATGCAGCATCATGCCCGGCTGGCATTGTGGGCCATGCCTGAGGGAGTGGCAGCCAGCAGGGTGTGACTCAGGATAGCTGTGTGAGTGGCTTTCCATGTGTTAGGCAAGTGCTCTACTACTGAGCTACACCCCCAGCCCTTTTTATTTTATTTTGAGACAGGGTCTGGCTAAGTTGTCCAGGCTGGCCTTGGACTTTTGATCCTCCTGCCTCAGCCTCCTGAATAGCTGGGATTACAGTCCCCCACCTCAGGTTCCTCATCCTGTAGAGGGACAGCCGACCTGCCTGTGCCACACAGAGCTGAGGCTGGCTGATGCCCCAGGCCATCCCTGTGTGGATTCCACAGCACAACTGACTTCCCAGTGGGAGGGAAGGAAATATTTCAGCCTGGTGACAAAGGCAAGGGCTCCAGATGCCAGGATGGCAAATTCCCCATGCCACCCCATTGCCCGGGGCCCTGGCTGCTGGGGCCCTAGACCTGGGGCACACACCTGACCTTGGGACACCTGGAGCACACTGGGTGCCTGTGCGTGGGGTCCTGTGATCTCGCAGCCGTGTCCAGGTGGCTGGCCAGGATGCATGTGGCCCACTGCAGACCCTGTCCTTCTGTATCTGCCCAAGGACAGGACTCAGGATCCCATTCCAGGTGGCATCGGCGGGCATGCCATTCTTCAGGGCATAGGCACAGGACTTCTGCTCGGGGCTTGGTGCAGGGACCTCTGACACAAGCAAGAGCCTCTGGCTACTAGGGCTGCCAACAGGGAGATGCCAACCCCATTCCAGGATGTGCCCCCATGTGCATCGTGTCTCCCCTTAGCTATGCATGCACACTGCCACCCTCAAAGCCACCCCTTGGAAGATAAATTATGTTTCCATGCTCCCTGCCCCATTGTGTCTGGGACCTCAGCTTCCTCCTGGGCAAACAGGAGATGGTGAACTTACAGACCTCAGAGTGGGGCATCACGGCGGGGGAGAAGGGCCTCAAGGAGATCCTTTGAGCCTGGCATTGCTCCCTGAAGCCACCTTCTCAACACAGAATGGTGACACTCAGTGAGGCACCTGCCATGCTGGGCTCAGCCGGGTCTATTTTATCCTCAGACTCTGCAAGGGAGGCAGACTGAACCCGTTTTACAGGAAACTGAGTCTTAGGCCAAATAACTTGCCTGCTGCTCCAGAGAAGGTTGCAGAAGGAGAGGAGACGCAGCCACTGCCTCTTCTGTTTCCAGTAGGAGCTGCCCAGTGGCCTGGCCATTCCAACCTAGTGTGACTGGGAGGAAGACTGCAAACAGGAAACACGTTCCACTGAGAACGCTGCCAGCACTTAGGGCCACACACCTTTGCTCCCCACCTCCCAAGACTCCCTCTTGCCCCCCAGAGAGAGGGCAGAGTGCTTGGCCTGGCCTCTGAGATCCCTGTGACCCGGCCTCCAGTGCCCTTTCTGGCTGAACCATCTGCTACATCCCCCAACGCCGCCTTACTGGAGGTGCGACCTTCATGCCATTCTGCCTTCGCCAGCTTGGTCCCTGCCTGGATGTCCTTTACCCCCTCTGCCATCCCTCCAGGCCCAGCCCAGCTGTCCGCTCCTCTCCCAGGGCTGAGTCCACCCCATGCTACCCCTGTCCTCCAGGCCCCAAACACTCTGTCCCCAGTACACCTGTGTGGATGGCTGTGAGCCAGCGTCCCCACCAGGCTGGGGTTCCTTGAGGACAGAGACTTCTTCCTACCGGTATTTCTAGGCCCAGGACTTAGCAAAAGCAAGGAACAGCGGTGGAACAAAACTGATCTGAGCCTGGTGCTCATCTTGTTGCTAACTGTTGCGCTGAGTCCGGGACCAGTGTGCCGGGGGCAGGCATCAGAGGCCAGTGTAGGCTTGGGCTGGTGCCTGAACGCAGTCACCAGTGCTCCCCAAGGCAGTTTCGTGGGCACAGCTGGGCTGGTGGAGTCAGATGCTCCTGGGAAGTTTTAGGAACCCTCAGAGAGGCCCTTGGTGGTCAGAACTTCGACTCCAAAGCATGGGGGTGGGGGATGTGGGTTAGGTTTCTGTTTCTGTAATGGGCCGTCAGGACTGGACAGCTATTAAGGTGCAAAGCAGGCCAAGCGCACATGGGACAGAGGGACAAGGCCGTCTCAGGCAGAGGCGTGGCACAAATGAGCCGTGGAAAAGGCAGGAGGGAGAGGTGGTCCCTGAAGGAGGCCGGCCTGCTCAGTAGTAGATACAAGGGGCACGGGGATGAGGCAGTGGCCCAAGGCTTGTTGTGCCTCGGAGCAGGGGTTCGGGTCCTCACCTGCCCTGCGGAAGTTTTCCTCTCTGTTGGGTGGGACCGAAGTGTGCTGGGGTCCCGCCCACTGCTGAACACAGGATGGAGAACAGGGGTGGGAGCCCCGGTTGAGCTGGTGCCCCGCTCAGAGATGACCCCACCCCCCGTCTGACCACTCCCCTGCCGGTGACGCTGCACAAGGGCACCGCTCGCAGGCCACCCCCATGTCCTCAGTGTTGAACCCAGAAAAGAGTGGGGGGCAGGTGGGCAGTAGCAGCTCTGGGGCCCGATCACCAGCCGCGTGCACAGAGGGCCAGACTTCATCCATTCCTTCGTTCATTTACTCTAGGAAGGCTCTCAAAGCCTCTGCTCAGTGACACGTTCTTCACTGAGCACCGGGGACAGAGTTGTGTCCCCGCTGGGGTAACTCAGGGTGACTCAGGATAGTGGTCTCCACAGAAGGGTGCTCTGTATGTAGAGAGAGAGAGAGAATGAGAATCAGACAAGAAAAGAAAAGAAATCCGCACAAGGGACCCTGAGTACCGGATCTGCCTCAGGAGCCATCACGGGTGCAAAGCAGAGCAACAAGAAGCCACATGGCTCCCATAACACTGGCGATGCTTTGTTGTGAAGAGCACAACAATAAAGACAGCAGGTGGCACTGGCTGAAGGTGGGGGAACTGGGCTCTTTCCTACATGGCCAGGACACAGCGGTGACTGAAGCCAGGGGACAGCAACATGGCAGCCTGCGCATGCGCAATCGAGAACCGCTCCCGGGCCCTGGGAATCGAGCAAAGAGGGAGTCACGCTCAGAAGTGGGTGGAGAGAGGGTGTGGGTGGTCGCGCAGATGGCCGGAGCCAGACTGGGAAGAGCCTCTGTCCTGAGACAGGACATTAGCCACTCTAGGATGGGGTGATCCGTGGAACCTAGGGGCACCCTCCCCTGCCTCTGTCTTTGAGGAGCATAGAGCTCTGTGAAACCGAGGCCCCTTGCGCTGTTTCTCTATAGTCCACAGACTAGACCACAACCAACAGTTGTTGGATGAACGACTGGGTCCATGACTCTTGGTGTAGAAAATGTTAGTAATATATAATTCACACTATGAAACAATGCACATAACCCAGGACCCCAGCCACCGGCGGACCAATGAAGACTGGAGTTTTTCTCAGGGGTGTTTCCAACAACCCAAACCACCCCTAAACCCCTATCCCAACACCCCTACCCGCTTCTCTGACTTCCTGGCTAACCCTGTTCCTTATCTACACTGCAGAGGCACAAGGGGTCTTAAAGTCCATTGCCCTGAGCTAGAGCAGAAGTGAAGAATAGTAAGAGGGCCTTACTAAGTCCCCATCCCAAAGGGTAAAGTTACTATATCGATCAGTTTATTCATTATAAACATATTTTTGGCTAGTCTTTCATCACATTTTATTTCAATAGAACTTTTGCAAATAACCAAAAACCTATAAAATGTTAGGAAAATGTAGAATGACTTCTGCTGTCTCTAACACCAGTCTGTTTTGTTTAGTTCAAAATTAACAGACGCCAGAGGCATTTACCATAGAATGGGACATTTGGCCTCATCCTGAGATAGCAGGGCACATCGAGACCCCAAGCTCCAAAGTTTTGTAAACCACATGATTGTAAAAGTGTCAAGATGAAAATAAACATTGTCAACTTTGCCTCCCTGACTCTGAACACCCCCTTCCCCTAGACTAGAATAGATAGCTAGATGAACCTTAAAGGTAAACTCCCTAGCTACAAAGAATTGCTACATCTGGGTTAAAGCTGACTCTCTTGTGACTGTGATTTATATCAGTAATGTAAACTGAAGAAATGAAATGTAACCACCTGAATGAGAAGATGGCTGTAAAACCCTATAAAAGGGGAAGCTGTAGCCCAGTATGGGGTTGATTACTGGCACTGCTCTTACTGCAATCAGCCTTTTGCAAGCAAAATAAACCTTTTGTTATTTTACTCTCATTCTGCATCTCTGTGTGTGTCACCAATTTCTTCTGCAATAATTTCACATGGTTAAAGGTGATAAATTAATAACTACCACAAATTGTCATTTTCTAAGCTTTGTTTGATTTTATTACTGTTGCTGATTGTATCACTTGGGCTAGTATTGTGATTGATCTAATCTGTTATCTTTCCTGATATGATGAAAATGAGATTGTCCCAGAGTTATTAGAGATTCAAATCCTAGAGAGCAGGTATGTCTGGAAGATACCTCTGAGAAGCAATGATTCCTTAAGGTTTCTAAATATGAACAACAAAGATACTTACAATAAGCAATATCTAAGAATCAACCCAGGAATTAAACCAAGGCTATACCAACAACAATAACAGAAATGAAAAGACATTTAAACACAACAGTCTTCCAGCTTACCAAAGGCAAATTCTGGGGAAAACAAGGTGGAAAAGTCTGATAATCAACTACCTAGACAGTCTGAACTGATAGCACAAGAAGTATAAAAAACAGGTGAATGTGGCTCTAGAAATATTCAAAACAGAAATAATTTCCCAGATAAAAGACATGATTAGAGACTCTAGAAAAGAAACAGATAAATAGATGAATTCAGAGCCATGATGGAAGCCAAGAATGCTAAGCATAGGAAAGAAATGGAAACCATAAAGGCCCAACGTAAGAGAGAAAGCTGTCCCTCTGCTGGGTATCTTCCCAAAAGCATTAAAAGAATCATAAAACAGAGATATATACTCGCCTATGTTTATAGCAGCACAGTTTGCAATAGCTAAAATTTGGAAACAGCCCAATTGCCCATCAACTGGAGACTGGATAAAAATGTGTGGGTTTTTTTTTAACATATAAAATGGAGTACTACTCAGCCATAATGAATGAGAAACTAGAGAGATTTATAGCTAAATGGACACACA